CCGCCGTTAAAACGGGTGCGGCCGCCGGATCTTCTGGCGGGTCCAGCAGTGCAGGCGGCAGCTCCGGCAGCACCCCTGCCACCCCCGGCAGCTCGGCGGACGGCTACGTGTATTACTACTATGACTACCAGGATGCACCCACCCTGCTGCCGTTTTGTGACCCGCGCAGCCACAGCTACTGCGTGAGCGGGTTCTGTGGATCGACTCACTTGCATGCAAGCGCACGCATGGGGACAGTACATGCACAGGCAGCTGCGTGCTGGCCCGCACCGCCTTGCCTCACAAATCACAGGATTCCTCATCCGCAACGCCTGGCGCGTTCGCAGGACGACTCTGACCGGCTCGATTTCCTGAAAACCGACAGTGACTCGATCACATTCGACGGCGCCCCATACACAGAGGCCGCTGCGACGCTGCAGGTGAGGGCGGGCACGATGGTTGCAGTGCTGCTTGTCAACAGTAGCATGCTGCATTCGAAGAAAGTGCACACCAGTGCAGCAGATCAACCAATTCATCAAGTGTGTTTGTTACAGAAGCAAGCAAGTTGTCACAGACCCTTCAACTCATCAGCATTTGGGCCCACTCCACTTCACTCTGCGTTCCTCTGTATCACACATACACCCCCACACCTGCACACACACACATGTGTGTGCACTTCCACGGCACGCATCGATGGTAGATCCCAGTGGTTCAAAAAACACCTGTCACGCAAACCGTGTGTTCTGATTCTCTGCCCACCACCGCAGGAAGACACCAGCAACTCTGCGACGCCCAACTTTTACGCCAGCAGCTTGGACCTCACGTCGAGGGCCGGCCTGCAGGGGCAGGAGAACGCCAAGCTCGGGCCCGCCGTGTTCCGCGGCACGACTACGGCGGACCTCACGAGGGCAAGCCTGGGCGTCGACGCTAGCCGCGTTGGCCGCGTGCTGCCCGACTCTGTGTCTGTGACTGTGGGTTCGCTCAAAGCACAGGGGCAGGAGGGGCCGGTGCTGCAAAGGGCGCGGTACAATTTCATTGCGGGCGCAAACGCGGGGCTGCCGGGGTTTGCGACCAACGCGAGGTGACACCAATGGTATGGTGGAGAGCAGCCCCGGTGCCACCAGTGCTGCAGTGCATCTGGCTGCCTGGGTATCTGTAGTGGCCACCATTCTTTCGCACTGTGAAAGTGGCACACCGCAGGCGTATTTTGACTCCAGTCACTGCATGTGTCGGCAGTTTTCGCGTGCCCCGGCTGTCCACGGGTGACACGCGGGTGTGAGAGCGTCTGTTCGACCTTGTGCACCCAATCCCTGTGCTTGTGTGTGGGGGGTCTGTAGCTGTTTGCGCAGGAAGGGTCACAGGGGGCTGGGCTCTTCGTGTGAAGGGGGGGGGTAACTCACCGCAAGCTGACGCTTTGGACGGTGGACGGCTGCCTTGCTGGGCTTTGGGCCTTCGTATGTGTGAACAGTCAGGATCAGATGAGAGGAGTGTTACACATGGATACAAGGTACCGAGTGCCAGGGGTTTCGTCCTCAAAATGCGGTGAACCGTCGCTATCAATACTCCTGGGTAACAGCGCGCGCGCGCGCGCGTACGCGCACAAACTTCCCGCCGGCCGCTCTGGGCTGGATAGGGCAGTACACGCCCTGGGGGTTGCGTCATGCATATCAGTGCAATTCACGTATCGTCTGGGAGTGTCTTGGACAGGCAAGGCAGTGGCATACAACAAACGGGGGTGGACAGGCGTCGCCGCTACTGTGGAGATGGCAGCGCGGCAAAATCAGTCATGGGGGTCGTGGGAGGGTGCCAGCGCTCGAACGGTCTTGAGCGCGTCAATCGTGCAATTCTCAACGTATATCATATCATAACATTGTATATAATCTTTTAGGTGATGTGAATACATGTCAAGGGGCAGGCAGGATTATGTCCACTGTGTTTACTCAAAAGTCAAAGAGTTACTTGGCATTCACACGTCACGAGCAGTCTTGTTGGTTACTCGCTGTGCTCCCACACATGCACGCGCACGTGCTGTCAGGGACCCCATGCCACGCGTGCTGAAATCTATAGGCTCTCAATATTGCGCCTCGGGTTGGCCAGCTGGTACTGACTGTGACATCCGTTCATGTGGTTGCGCAAGGCGGTGTGCCAGCACCAGTAAGCAAGTCAGGATCGCAAGCTCTGAGGAACCCTGGGCAGCTCCCGAACACTGGTTCTTCACATGACATTGGTTGATGCAGCACGATCTTGCTGCACTCTGCTGCACCCTGCTTCACCATGCAGCATCATTGTGCTACACTCTACTATGGTACACCTCGCTACAAACTCATACAAGCCAGCGCCACGGTCGAAAGTGTTTTGACTCCACCAGGACGCAACACACCGACGCAATGCCTTCAGCAATCAGATTCAAAGCATGCACAAGTTCTCGCTTGCATATGCTGGGACGCTCATTGGCCGTGTGATCTGTCACAGAAACCCGCCAAAGTTCAAAATGTCCTAGACGCGTGCTGTGTTGGCAGCACCAGCGTGCGTATTCCACCGCAATACAATATTTATCACTTCAACACAGGTATTCAACATCTATCCTCAATTGCGTCAGTGTCCTGGCGTGATCTGCTGATGCCACTCCACCTCGCTCTTCGCTCCTCAACTTCATGTTCGCGTTCAAACGTGAAGACCTTTTGACGCTGATCTAATTCTCATAGAACGCACCCTGGTCGCGACACACTCCGCTTGTCGTAAAACATAGATTTTGTGCTTCGCCGGCTGTCCAAATACGCGTGGCAACAGTCCTTAGTAGCAGCATAATGAGTGGCATCGTGCCGGGCGCCGCTCTGCCGTGGGCTGTGAGTGACGCTGCCCACGCCCCTGCTGCACACTCTGCTGAAGAGCAGCTGTCGCAGCAGCCCCTCTCTGTCGAGGCACTCGGCCTCGCCCTTGGCAGCAGGATTGAGGTGCGGGGCGACTGTGGCGCTCCTGGTGGTTTGGCGGTTGCAGGCGATGTGCGTGTGCGACGCAACTCCCGTGAGCGTGCATGGCAGGCAATGCCTCGAACTGGACGAACCGCGGCATGGATTCGATGCAAAGCTCGCCGCGTGACTGCCGCCGCCACGCTTGCCAGGTGCGCTGGGAGATCATTCCTGCAGAGGACGAGGGGCGGCCCTTCTCCAAGGTGCGCGCGGCGACGGCCCTGCCCCCCACACCCCGGCAGCCCGGCGCAGACGCACCTGTGGCCCTGGGCGTGAGGCCGTTGTTACCCAGCCTGTCCCTTCACACATTCGAACGACCAGATACGCCCGAATCGATTGGGCTTCCGTGTCCTCCCCCCTCCCCTCCAATCTGCAGTGGTGGGGTGCGAGCATTTCCAGCCAGGCGGCTGCGGCGGCAGACGCGCCGGGCCCCTGCTACAAATTGTCGTACGACCCAGACGAGAGCTTTGAAGCCGAGGAGCGCAGGGTGCAGCTAACCTCGGAGCGTGAGCCACGCCGGCGCGCGAGCGGGCGGCGGGGGAGCTTTGGAGCGGGGCAAAGGGGATCCACATGTGCGGGCCCGGTGTGGCGCAGGAGCGCAGGCGCGGTGGGCGTGCGCCTGCCGCGCTGGCCGCGCTTGCGGCGACTTGGGCTCACGGCGTCGGGGAAAAAGCAGGGCTCTAGGCCGCACCCGCGTGTCCGGCCACGCCCCGTCAACCTGCGAGTTGACCGCGCTGCAATATTTGACCGCGCGGCGCACCCCAGACGAGCTGTTTGACCTGGAGGACGAGGACACGCTGATGTGGCGGCGCGAGGGCGAGGACTGGGAACCGTCCACAACCGCCACGCTCGGGGACATTATGGGAGGGTGGGGCCCCGCGGGCGGCGGGCCACGACCCGGCTCTGCTTGACCCATGCGTGCCGTGCCTCTGGGTGTCCTGCGTGGGCGTGCCGCATGGCGGCCACGCAGGTGGCAGCCCCCCGCGCCTCGCATCATCACGTATGGCCCTGGGTGCCAAGCCCCGACACCCCCCTCTTCCCAAGTTTGCACCCGATCGTCTCGCGATACATGCGAAGCCCCCAGCTCCTCGCCCACCGACGCCCTCCTGATTGAGCACGGACTCTCTTGAAGCATCCACGCTGCACCCCTGGCCCCCCTCACCCACCCACACGCACCCACACCCACCCACCACC